GAAACAGCAAACCCCTTCTCCCTCTTGCCTCCTAGTCTCTCTGGTTCCTCCTGGGACAAAATATACCAGAAGGCCTGGTAAGGGAGAAATCAGATTGCAGAGTTACAGATCAGTGCCTGGTACATAGCTGGGACTCAATAAATATTTGTTGCATGAAGGAATGAATCATGCTCACTAGGGTATCTTCATGAAGCGTGAAAATATAACTTACAATTTGTTTTCAAATATTATATAATTTTTATGAACACTACGTAATAATTAAGAAAACAGGCATGTTACATTTTGCGGACATTAAACATTTTTAGTTTTGCAGATTTTTCCTTGGCGTTTTGGATCAAAACACCTAACTTTTCCAATTCTCAAACAAAAGCTGTCTCTGTCCTCTGGTGCCTCCTAATACCGCTTCCCACATGCTTGATCGAAAATAGGCCTTGGCTAGGCAGAAACCACAAACCTTAAAATGCAAATTTATGAGCCAAGAAATTCAAACAATACAAAAAATTGACTACAAGTGAGTGAGGTCAACAAAAACTAGGATTGAAAGCTCTGCCCAAAGTTGAAGCTCCCCAATCGGCGCCCAGGGCCAAGAGGTCCGGAGATCGAGACCCCAACCCAGACCATCGAGCCCCACCCAGACTGGACTTGCTGGAGGAGGCCTGCGTAGACGGCAGCAGCGCCAAGGCTCCTGGGCGGAGGCTCCGCCCCACCCCGCCCCGTCCCGCCCGCCTGCCCGCGCGGAGGCCCCGCCCGCCCACTGCTGTTGCCATAGAAACCCAGAAAGCGCCATGGCTGCCGCCGGCCTGGGAGGAAGGCATTGGACGCAGCTGGCGGCAGCCGTAGCCAAGTCATCGTCACTTTCGCCACAGCTAGCAGCTCCCATCCGAGGAAAGTCTAAGAAGGGTCTGGTCTATCCGCACCCCCCGAGAAGATCCCGCCTCTCTCGGTCGGTTCTGCGCTGGCTCCAGGGCCTGGATCTCAGCTTCTTCCCCAGGAATATCAGCAGGTGCTCAAGCGAGCCGGGCCCGGGCCCCCCAGGCTGGCACATCCAGCCTGACCCGCCCAGGGATCCGCGCCCAC